CCACCACCACCATCACCACCACCAACCACCTCTACCATCACCACCACCACCACCACCAACCACCTCCACCATCACCAACAACAACCACCTCCACCACCACCACCAACCACCTCCACCACCACCAACAACAACCACCTCCACCACCACCACCACCTTGCAATCAACAAGTCAACAGCCTAATGTCTAACCAAGAGTGGTGGCGTAATTTTGGAGTCACTCTGCATTTCTAGTTTTGTCTGACTCAGTGAGGCAGTCTTGAGAATTCAAACCAGATTTTGAAAACACGAATTGTATCTTTAGTTCAATCCTTTTGCTCATGCCAGATCTGGTTTTTTTTTTTTTTTCTTCAGTATTCATCTTAAAGGTACTGATGCAATAAATCTAAGCTGTGACATTTCTCTAAACTTGCTTGATTGGACATTTTTGTCAAGTAAATCATTTCTCCAGTGCCTGCTCAGTATAACAAGATTGGTTCTCAGTGCCACAACCTCTCAATTTAGACTTCAATAGTTTCGGGTTGAATATAGCCATTATAATTTGACAGAACTGACAAAAATTCTGCAATGCATAACTACATAGGGACATATTAGTAATGTTGCACTAATAAACATTTGCTAGTTGTGTGTTCTACTTTGCATTGAGTAACTTTCCCTGCCCCATGCGATACAAGTGACTTGATACACCCTAGAAACTCAGCCCATAATTTATTGTAAAGACCTGCCATCATCACAGCTGACATTACCTGAATCACTGTGGCTTCCAAATGAAGTCATTCCAGAAGCAGCCAAAGAGATACAATAAGACGATGAACACTGGTCAAGGTCTTAAAGAATATATAGGGGAAGGAGAGCAGTGGGGAGGCCAAGGGAAAGAGTACAATAGGCTGAAAATTTCCACATTTTCATATTCTCCTTTTAATTCCGCGGGTTTCAGAAATACATTTCCATGTCCCTGATCAGCTCTACACAAAAGACACCAGAAAAATGTTATTGGTAAGAAATAGCCTTGGTGGCTCAGCAGTGAAGCACTCAGCTGTTCATCAAGAGTTCAGTGGTTCAAACTCAGCAGTGGCTCCTCAGGAGAAAGGCGTGGCAGCTTGTTTTCATGAAGATTACAGCCGTGGGAAGCCTTGGGAGCAGCCCTACTTTGTGGGGGTGTATGGGTTGGATTACACTTCAGGCTCCATGACAGTGGGCTTCTTTTCCTTTTTTCTTTTCCTGGGTTATTAGGAAATGTGGGATTCACAGGATTACATGAAGCATTTTCTACAAAAATAAAATTCTGAGGCTCTAGTAGTTATGTCAAGGAGCTCTAGTAGCATAGTGGTTACAAATCGGGCTGCTAATCTCACAGCCAGCAGTTCGAAATTACCAGCTGTTCCGCAGGAGAAAGATGAGGCATTCTGCTTCCATAAAGATTTACAGCCTTGGAAACCCTGTACAGGGTCACTATGAGTCTGAACTGACTCCACGGTACACAACGACAGCAACAACAGTAGTTATGTCATGAAGCCTGGTGGCATTGTGGACTAAGCATTGGGCTGCTAACTTTAAGGCCACAGTTCAAATCCACCAGTTTCTCCTCAGGAGAAAGATGAGGCTGTTTGCTCTCATAGAGATGGACAGCCTTAAAAACCCTGGGGAGCAGTTCTCTGTCCTACATAAGGTCACACACTCAATGGCAGTGGGTGGTTATGGTTAGAACCACTTAGAATACACAGCGGCTGAAAAAACTCACCTGGTGACTCTCTAATGTAAACAAGTCACACAAACAGAAAAAGAATTAAACAGACCCAAGAACTGAGCGGTATTGGCAATGGCCCACTAGGAGAACAGGTGGCATTCACCCAGGCTCCTCACTGAGGGCATACGCTCTGGAAGGCACGGAGGCCCACTCGGATGAAGGGCAAAGAATGCTGTTGCTCACAGAGGACCAGTCTCGGATCTTTCCAACGTGGTCTCAGTGTTCTCAGGAAGCTCGCTTACGTGGGCCTTGTCTTTTTATGTGATGCCTTTGATTCCATTCTGAAAAACAATGGTTCTGGATAAAAAGTAGGGCTTTGAAAGAATTTCTTTCATAAATGAATTCACTAGATACATGGCTTTGTCCTTGAGTGAATTCATTATTTGTCCTTTTTCTGATTTCTACACTAGAATTTGTCAACAATGATCTGATCAGGTGTTGTGTTCCATTTTGACATTTGCATTTTTACGTTGATTGGACAGCGCAAGCTTACAATTTGGCTGTGCTCCTCACTCACATTTTTGTTCCTCAGGTCCACCGTCTTCTAGTTCTTCCTCCAAGCTCCGTCTCACGTCAGCTTTCACAGGCCCATTTCTACACGTTTCACCTTGTTCCGTTCTTCCGTCAAGCCCCACTCATAGGTTTCCATTCTCATATCTGCTTCTGCTTCTCCTTCAGGGAACAATCAATTGTTCTGGGCCTCCTAAAGATCATGGTTCTCTGATAGGTTTACTCCCCAAACTGAAATATCACTCAAT